GGTGGGAGCAGTGTTCTAACTGTTGTGGTCATGGGAGCACTGTTGGCATGTGAGGAGCATCTACACATCACTGTCGGTTTTAGTTTAAAAACCGACAGTGAATTGAGCCTTCTGTGTCGGTTTGAGCAACCGACTGTGATAGAAGCTAGCACTGCCGGTTTTAAAACCAAAACCGACAGTGAAGGGCCCTGCCGCCATGTTTTAGTAAAAAAATATAAAAAAACACTGTCGGTTTGGAGCCTACCATCGTAGCGTTTTTGTAAAAAATATAAAAAAGTTTGGCCCGTCTGAGATTCGAGCGCGGGTCGCGGGGTTGAGAGTGCGCGGCCTTAACCGCTGAGTTAGGATAGGGAGTTCGGTTAGAATGGTTTTATTTTTTTCTTTTATCCCATAGTAATGCACTACTAAATAATAAATGCAAAATCAAAAAAGTTTGGCCCACCTGGAATTCGAGCGCGGGTCTCAGAGTACAGAGTGCGTGGCCTTAACCGCTGAGCTAGGATAGGGAGTTCGGTTAGTTTGCTTTTCTTTATTTATTTATTAAGAGAAATAATGCAGTTAGTTTATATTCTAAAATAATACAAAAATTTGTGTCTTGATTATTTAATTCTATGATAATTAATTAATGGTCTATAATTATCAAATAATAGTGTTTTGAACATCATCTTAATATTTGATTACATAGTCAATAATTAAATTGTAGAGATACGCACAAAATATAAATTAAATATTCAGTGCGAATTACTGATACAACGTCTGCATAATGATTACATAATTAACAATAATCTAACTATCTTTAGGTGCATCAACAATGAGGGCCTCATTGTGATCAATTCGTGCGTAAGCAGGTTCGTCACCCTCTTGAAGGATAGGTAGGGATACGTTTGCCCCGAATGGAGGCATTTCCTGATAGCCCCTGTAGTCTTCTTCGTTCGTCACTCCATCGACACCGACAATCTTCCTTTTCCCTTCTAGGACTACTTTTAGCCTTCCTTTTGTCTTGTTGTCCCTTGCATAGAAGACTTGCATAACATCTCTTGCAAGGACGAAGGGGTCGTCTCTGTATGCGGTCTTAGTGAGATCAACGGATGTGAACCCTTCGCTGTCAGTGTTGATTTTCTCGAGCCAGACCCACTGGCAGCGAAAAAGAGCTGCCTTCAACGGACCGTAGGCTAGCTCCCATATCTCCTCTATGAAACCATAGTATGTCGCCTGCACGTTGCCGTTTTCGTCATGAGCATCAAAACGAACACCACAATTTTGGTATGTGCTCTTTCCATCTTGCTTTTTTGTGTAAAATGTGAATCCATTGATCTCATATCCTTGGTACTTAAGATATGTACTCGAAGGTTCCTTGGCTAAGGCATCCAGTTGATTACCTAACTTTATTCCAAGTAAGCGACGTCGCAACCAGCTAACAAATTCCTCCTTATATTTTTTATCCAGCCAAGCCTGTGACCTGCTCGGATACAGAGTTTGCAGCGATTGCCTGTGCTCGTCAATGTATGGCATCACACCCTCGGCTTGCTGGAGAACAGCAAACTATGCCTGTCTGAAAGAAACAGGGTCGTCTACTGTAACAGATTTCTCTCCGATCGTTCCTTTGTCACGTAGTCTTCCCTCATGACGAGATTCTAGAACTCCGACCCTTTTGATGTCCAGATAATATGTGCAGAACTCAATGGCCTCCTCCGTTGACCATCCTTCAACAATGCCCCCTTCTGGCCTAAATCTGTTCCTAACATACCTCTTGAAAACTTTCATCAATCTTTCGAAAGGGAACATCTGATGCAGGTACATTGGGCCAAGGGCTCTAATTTGGTCAACAAGATGAATGAGCAGATGCAAAGAAATATCAAAGTAAGTCGGCGGGAAATGCATCTCAAGCCTAACGAGAGTTTCGGCTATGTCCCGCTGCAGCTGCTCTAGCGTGGACACATCAATGACCTTTTTTGAGATCGCGTTGAAGAACGAGCAAAGCTTTATGATTGGGGCGCGAACCTTTGGGGGGAGGATACCACGCAGGGCAACAGGGAGCAGCTGAGTCATAATGACATGACAGTCATGGGCCTTCATAGGGCCATAGTTGAACTTGAGTTCTCTCATGTTCACTAGCCTCTTCGGGTTCGTACAGTAGCCCGTCGGGACTTTGAGCTCACTGAAGAAAGAAATAAGCGCACACTTTTGTTCCTTCTTCAATGTCCATGATGCAACTGGAAGTTCGAACTGGCCATTCTCTAGCTCCACGAGATGCAGCTCCTTCTCATTTCCCAAGTGTTGCATGTCCAGGCGTGTGGCTAGTGAATCCTTTGATGTCCCCTCGATGTCCATCAAGGTGTTAAGAGTGTTAGCGCACACGTTTTTAGTGATGTGCATGTGATCAAGATAGTGGCGTACATTCAGACATGGCCAGTAAGGTAGTTTCCAAAAAAATTGATTTTTTCTTCCAAACGCTCCCATCAGGCACTGCTACTGTATTGTCCCCCTTCCCAAGGATAACCTCCAGTTTGTTGAGTTCTCGAAGTATCGTAGGCCCGTCTCGATATTTTGGAGCTAAGCGTTTCTCAATAGTACCGTTGAAATCTTTTCTGTTCCTGTGGTAAGGGTGATCCTTAGGTAGGAACCTATGGTGTCCCATATAAACTATCTTTGAGTTATTTGATAGATTTACCGCATCGAGGTCATCCAAGCATTCGACACATCCAGTATAGCCATTTGTCTTTTCTCCGGACAACGAACCTCAACCTGGCAGGTCGGTGCTTGTAGCGATAAGTACTCCCTTGATCGTGACATGTTCCTTTTTGTAATCGTCCCAAATATCTGGCACACACTTTTCAAACATCTCCACTAGTTCATCGATCACTGGTTCCCGAAACACATCAATGTCATTCCCAGGTTGTCTTGGCCCTTGGATCAGTAGTGGCATCTGGATGTACGACCGCTTCATACAGACCCAAGGTGGAAGGTTGTATATACAGAGCGTCACTGGCCAGGTGCTATGATTGCTTCTAACCTGGTCGAAAGGATTCATCCCATCTGTGCTCAAAGCAAACCAAAGGTGCCTTACCTCTCCACCGATGTCCTTATAGAACATAGTATTGACAGTCCTCCAGTCATGCCCATCGGCAGGGTGCCTCATCATTGTATCTTTCTTACGCTCTTCGCCATGCCAGCGCAACAGCTTAGCTGACTTTGCACATGCAAACAACCTATGCACCCGGAGAGCTATAGAGAAATATCAAACGACCTTTACGAGATCTCCTCTGGTCTTGGTACCCTCATCTGACGGCCCTTCCTTGTACCGTGGAGCTTCACACTTGGGGCACTTGTCCAAGTCTTTGTATTTTTCTCCACGGTATAATATGCAATCATTGGAACACATGTGGATTTTTTCAACCTCGAGACCGATGGGGCAGATCATTTGCTTGGCCAAGTATGTCTTTTCTGGCAACTCGTTTTTTCTAGGAGCATTTTCCTTATTATACCTAACAACTAATCGAAGCCTTTATCGCTCAATCCGTTTGTCGATTTGAACTCTAACAGCATGATGTCGGCTTCCAGTTTGCTCATTGGACAATTCCTATACAATGGTGTTTTGCCATCTTGTCTTATTTTCTCTAGCTTTCTCAGCTGTCTTTCACTAAGACATCCGGTCTCTACATTATGTAGCAGCTGAGAAATGCCATCGTTATCCTTGGTGTCGTCAGCTAGCGTGTTCCTAAACACATTATTAACTGTGGCCATAAGTTCCGTGTTGACACCGGGTTCCTCGTCAGCATCGTGAATGGCTACGTCAGGCATGTCCACATCATTATCGTTTCCCTACAGAACATTCACACCAACCTCGCCACGCATAGTCCATATCGTATAGTTTGGCATGAACCCCCTGATAATCAAGTGCGATCGTATAGACTCAATTTGACGAAAGTTCCTATGATTCTTGCAATCTTTGCATGGGTAGAAGACAGGGTTTCCATTCCTAGCTTAGGCTTTGGCATCGGTGATAAACTAGCTGACGCCATGTATGTACCGCTTGTCCGTTCAGGACAGATGCATCCACTCTCAATCCATCTCTGCACAAAAAATACTGAGACAGTAATTACAAAGAATTAATAAGAAATCGAGCTTCATGAACAACAATTGTAGCTCGAAAGTACCATTTTGGAAAACATTATTGTACACTAATTATTGAAAAATTGAAATTGGTAGCCCCGGCCCTGTAAATTGAAAATCGTAGTAAAAATAATTATTGCACAATATTGAAGAACAAATATTCTACTCTACTTCTAAGAACTAATTATAGCATCAAATACTAACAATGATGATCTTAACCACCATGGAATAATTAGCTAGGAATTTAAATATGTTCATAGACACCAACCTTTTGGATGATAGATTCACCATAATTTGAGCCTTGCACAAATATTCAATTGGAAAAGTACTCTCTAGAATGGAGAAAGAACTAGAATGAGAATCAAGCAATGTAGCCATCAAAACGAAGCTAATTAAGCAACAAAATCAAATGAGTGGATATTTGTTACTGACCTTAAAGCAAAAAGATCAACCCATTCTTCAAAATCCAAGCACTAGCTTCATGGTGAAGAGTAGCCGCAACAATGTAGGGAAGGGTCCAAACGCGCGTCTCTGTTCTCGGGATGGAAGAGAGGAGGAAGGAGAGAAGACGGCTGCAACCTTTTTGTGTTGTAGGCTTATTACCGTCGGTTCTTGGCTAGAACTGACTGTGATAGAGCCCAATCATTGTCGGCTCTTGGCTTAAACCGGTAGTGATGAGTGTCCGCCAAAACACTGTCGGTTCAAGTTACAAACCGGCAGTGATGTGGTCCTTCACTGTCGGTTTTAGTCCAGCTCCAATTATTTTTTCATTTTCAAGCTCATAATCGGTAGTGAAGGTACATCACTATCGGTTCTCATAAATCCGGCAGTGATGATGCCGACAGTGATGTGCAAATCTGACGTAGTGGTGGCTCCTGCGGGTTCACCAGCAGCGCGGCCTCCTTGTAGGTGAGCGGGGTGCCACATGGCTCGTCCCTGTCCGCCGCGCTCGGCATGTACCTCTGTATGTCGTCTGAGATCGCCATGTAGTTGAACCTGACATACATTGATACATATATACACAAAAAATGTTTAATTTGTTTTGTTGCAGAAAAGAAGGGGAAAAAATGTCATTTTGGTCAGCTGATCGACATGCAAAAGAAAGAAAGAAAGAAAGAAACGGGTTCTTTGATTTCTCACTTGTCCGTGTTGAGCTTGAAAGCGAGCCTGGCCTCGGTGACGTCGAGAGCAGGCCAGTCGCTGGCGTGCTCCAAGACGGCGTAGCAGTAGAACCCGGAGCTGCCTTTCAGCATCACAAGCCTGCAGGAATAACAAATTGACAATTTTCATTTCTGGGAACGTAATTTCGTCACTGTAACAACAAAATAATATGATCCTTTTGAACACTGAATGAATATATGAAATCTGAAAAATACGAATTCGAATGAGTACGTCGGACACCGCGGCACCTCTTGTCAACATTTAGGCGAACACTGTCTTGGCGTGACGGAGTGTATGTGCTGCTGAAAGAGAGCTCCACTTGCTCCTCAGTTGAAACCACGACCTTGAACTCCGTACTGTCCAACCTGTACAGACGCTGCACTTAGTTTGTTGCATCCAAAAGGACCAAATTCAGCTTCTGCACATGCGCAAATGTGCTTTATTTCTTGGCCTGTACCAGCTGTACGACCATGCCTTATTGGCCCTTGGAGATCATGCATTAGTATGTTTGAAAATTTGTTTCTTATTAGATATGATATCACGTGAACCAAGCAACAATAATATTTATGCATGCTATTGATCGAAAAAAATATATTTATGCATGCTGTGCTATTATATTTTTTTCAGTGCTCATTGGTTTGTGACGGTGCTTAACACTAGCACTGAATTTCAGAGTTCTGACAGAGCTGAAGGAGCACTTTACAGTGTGGATGGATGGGGTGTGGTTTGGTTAGTCCTTGCGCTTATATTAGGGAGCCAGGCCTGCATCTTTTCGGTGCACATTATGTTCATGCAGAGTACTATACACAGTACATACCTAGCTGATCGATCTGGTAGCTTTTTCTTTTAGTGCATGCATGATTAATTACGTTGTTGCATTGCATTGCCTAGCCGGCGTCATGGTCGTGACGGCACTCGCATGAGTCCTGTCAGTTAACACGCATGCATGCAGAAATTTGGTCGATCGGTGCAAGGTCAAGAGTGTTTAAACAACGGTAAATTAAAATTGTGTATGTTTGTGAGCTGCAGCTGCGACTCCATTTCAGATTATTAGACGTTTTGATCTTTCTAAATACATTTGTTTTCAAATTAAGAATTGTATGTCAGGACGCATGCATATCATCAGCTAGCACACCAAGGAGGTGGGCGGTCAGTGAAAGATCATGGGGGGAATGAATGGAATGTATACAATATTATCATCAGTACTCACATATCGATCATTCCTCTTGGCTGATCAGAGCCCGGATAGTTCCACACCACATCCCAGTACCTGAATCCAACAGAACTCATCAACATATAACTACAGATATATATATATATATATATATATATATATATATGTATGTACATATTTATTTATTTATTTATATATATTTACTACCCACCCTCCTGAGTTTTCGGTGCCGTCGAAGTGCAGGAGGTTGCGCTCGCCGTTGTAGCGCGGACGCCGGTGATGTGGCCCTGCGGCTTGGACAGCGTCACCTGCACCACGCCGTTGTCCACAACCACCTGCATGCATGCCAATGCAATATACGCGTAGGTAGGTAGGTAGATACATGCAGAAATCGAGATCACGACAACATATATAGCAGGACTACACATACATATATATAATAATAACTTGTGTCAAATTTAAAACATGGAAAATATATAGGTAACTTATTAATGGCAGCAGTAGCTAACTGTAAATGCAGGCCCATAGCTAATTAATTTGATTGATTCATTCCTTAGTATAGTACTACTGCAGCAGTAGTAGTAGTCTGTAACAAATAAAAGATATCCTGCCTGTGTACGTATATGTATGGAAGAAAAAAAAAAGATACGAGTAACCTACGCTAATTAATTCAGTAGCCTAGCTAGTATACGCACCTGATGCCGATCATCGTCGACGCGCAACGTAACGCCCTGCAGGGGCCGCCGCCGGCGATCTAGCGGTGGCGCCGCGGTGCGGCAGGGAAAATAATGGCGACCACGACGCTCCGACGACGACGCTGCCGATGTGCAGGGTCACGGTCACCACTAGCAGCAGCAACACCGACGACGACGACGACCTTGTTATCCCCGTCCCCGTCCAAGCAGCCGCGGCCATGGCTGACTATTGCTCGATGGCCGGCGGCCGGCAACACTGGCGCGCCAGCCCGGGGCTCGCGGGCACACGGCAATACTGCACTAGCTAGCTCGTTTGCTTGCTAGCTTTGTTTGAGGGAGCTGTGGCCGCGCCTGAGCTTACTATATATACGCACGAGCTGACGAACACGAAGCCGGCAGCCACGACCGAACCGATCGGATCGGCCGGCCGGTGGCCAAGCAAGGTGTGTACTACGGCGGTTCGTTAGGCGCGCGGCGGCGGCGCAAGTTGCTGAGCGAGCAGAGAGGTCGAGAGAAGGAAGGATGGAGAGCTGGTTTGTTCAGGGCCTGTATGGGCAGCTGCTAGCGATGGCCGCAATGCCTTTTTATAAAGGCCGGCGCGCGGCGCACGGCACGGCTCATCACTCATCAGATGAGCCGGCCGGTAGTTACCTCGCCGTTGCAACAAGCTAGCTGAAGCTGCTTTGCATTCCGGCGGCGCTGCCTCGATCAATGCTCCCGTACCCGATCCGGTTGCAACCGTATCTTTCTCTCTGCTTCTGCCAGCGCTATAGGATGTGAGAATGCAACTATATATGGCTATATGCAAAGCAGTCATACGTCACCTTCTTTAACTCCCAAAACGGACTCTACTGCTACAGCAGTTCAATGGCTTGCATGCTCATCCAGTCATCCTCAGAAGGGGGGACATGCACATGCCGGTGGGCTAGTTGTGTACATATTACAAAACCATCCTTCCGCGTTTTTTTACCAATTTCTCCAAATAAATAAAAATCTTGAGATGGACTCAAGTACCCAACCCCAGGTTAAACACAGTGGTTGAACCCATCCTCAACAATAGGGTTAGGTTTATTGCATCCCTTCTTATCTCCAAAATAAACACATGCTTAGAGAATCCTAGCTACGACTTGATTTTTTTTGTGTTCAATTTTTTTTTATAAAGATCTATGTTTTTTAATGCGTGGTGGATAGAATAAATGGGAGAAGGAAAAATTCTATGCTTTATTTATTGACTTCTAGGATACTCCATCTATCCAGTTAGTTATGTTTTCCATTTGCACAACTTCCTTCTAATCCAGCACTTTGAAACCTATAGTATCCTAAATAAACCATTGTTGAATGCTATCTTCCCGTTTATCTCCATCTACAGGGGTCGATCTCCATCTACAGGGGTATGACTAGTTCCTTATAACTATTAGTGTGGTAAAAATGACCCAAGCTTTCGGGTAAAAAAGCGAAAGTGTAACGGCTTTCGGGTAATAATGAACCCACTTTGCCAGCCTTGAGAAAGGGGAAAAGTGACTCTAAAGCCCAGGCAAACCATCTACACAAGATTGATAAAAAAACCGCCAATCAAACCACTAAAGTAATCACAAATAAGTGACATTTTAGAATTGTTCAAGTCAATCATTCTAAACCTTACCTAGGAAATACTTTTCATGTGCTGAGTTTTAATGTTTGGAAATGGTACACGTAGATCTTCCTTGAAATATACTTCAACAAAAGTATATATTTGCTATATTTACTAGCTAGCAAATAAGTAGTGGTCAAAACTTGAGAACAACTAAGTACATACAATCATCAAACGTTCCTTATTTGTGACAAGAGTGAGTGTATATATTTTTATGCCTAGTTACAATTAGGGCACATTTGGTTGTTCAACTACCACTCGCCTCTCCTTAGTAAGCGAGAAATCACATGAGAAGGGGTGTTTGGTTCACTGGCGAGGTTTAGTAGGAGAGTCATTTTAGTTCGCCTAGCCTGGCAAGGAAAGGCTCACTCGCACGGGCGAGGCTAGGCGACCTAGCCCCTGGAACTAAATTCTACCCTTGGTTTATCTTAGAACACAAGTAGTCATGTTGTACACTAGATTGTACCACATGAGCAGGTCAAACCAAAATTTGGTAACAGTAAATGCTTGCCAAACATACCAGGTTATTAGTCTTGCCACACTTTAATGGCAACAGAATCCATCCCCTATAACCTTAGAGATTAGAAAAAGTTAGGTAAACAAAAGTTGAGTGTGGACCAAGTGACTAAGAAGTTAGGCAGACTAAGTTGTGGCAGCAATCAAAAAATGGCTAAAACAGTTGTCTACCTAAGGTTAAATGTGGCAACCATAGATTGCAATCCAAACATACCAAGAAATGCCTAAATGTGGCAAAAAAGAAGATGGCTGGATCATAGCCGAACCAATCTTGGTAATGACAGAATCTAGGCGATTAGTAAACGGTGTTTGGATTACTCCCAAACTTTGCCAAAAATAATGAATGACATAGATCCATGTGTCACTATTTTTAAAAAAAATCTAGATATATCTAACATGGATCTTCCGGGCCAATAAAATATAAAACATGCATGACGGAGGAAGTATAAATAATCATTTGAAATTGCACTATGTGCAGCCACTAGCAATCTGCCACGTCACCCTCCTCTTATTTGGCCAGCCAAACCAAAGCCAGGCCACCAAAACGTTCACTCATGAGTTGCCCTTCCTCTGGTCACTGGCCAGGGCCAATTTTTAGAACGAGACAAAACTTGCAGAGAGCTAAATGGTGGCCAAATTTTGTAGACACCTCAAAATTTGGCCAGGCCTTTACCGGCACCAAACCAAACAGCCCGTTTGCGATGAAGATGACAAAGCCCAAATGAATGTCTCACTGTCCCGAGGAGCCCGAAGTGGAACAGCATCACACAAGTCGTAGACGGTGCTCAATTTGGGACCACAATATACAGACAGCCGAATCTGAGACAATGTACAGAATTCAGTATTTAGTGTTCCAGCATTCCAGATGAAGAAAAGACGTGTTGTTTTACTTTCTATAAGCTCTGTTATATGTTGTTGTCACGCCACGCACACAGATAAAGAAATTGGGATGCATGTATTTGTGATCTTTTCAGCAGACTTCTTCCACGCAAACGCAGTGGAGAAACTATGTGATGTTATTTTTTTTTCCTCATCGGCAACTGTCGGGGAATATTTCTACAGTTTCTTGTTTGCTTACAAACACCACCAGATGTCACCATGCCGTTCTCAAAGACTGCAAAGAAATCTCCACAATCTCATTTCGCCAGTAACATCCACACATGCATTTTGCCTGGGTTTACTTGCTGCTGCAGTGGTATGGGCTGCTATCACCATAGCTGTCAGCTGTTGGCCTCCACTAAAACTCGGTTTCCATAGCCATGCCATCTAAGGGTCTGTTCGGCTAGTATTAAAGTCGGTTAAGGCTGTTTTGTTGTGAGAGAAAAATACTGTAATTCTAACTGATAAGTTCAAGCGAACAGGCCCTAAGGTCCTGGACGGCTGGACCTGTCAATTCAAGTTGCACAGAAACCTACATCAAAACTCAGTTTGTCCTGGAGTTCATTCAAGTTGCACTGTATTCCCTCCGGTTCTCTAAAACAAGTCGTTTTGGACATCGACACGGTCTTTAAGAAACGACTTTGACTACAACTTTTTGCTATAAAATATTTATAAAATATAGTCAATATATACTTTTATGAAACTACATTTCGAGATGAATCTACTTACATTACTTTCATATTTTCAAACTCACCCCCCAAAAAAGTTATTTGTAGTCAAAGTTTAAAATGTTTGACTTAAGACAATCTCAAAACGACTTGCTTTAGAGAACCAGAGGGAGTACTCATCAGACCCAGCAATTCTTCATCGAGTGGAGGTCTGGGGGAAGAAAGTTTGGGATTCGGATGCTTTTCTGCTATCAACTTCACCAAACCCCAGTCGCTTGCGAGTTGCGATGTTCTGACACCACATTGTTGCCATGTCAGAGTTTATCCTGTAAAACATATATACAAGATACTTAATTGACTTTAATTTAATGGAACAGGCATTCAGGCTCCAACATAGACCCAGCAAAACTGATGCAAATTTTTAGAAACCATTCACCAGAAAAATAAATATCCAGCAACTCTTACTTTGTTGAAAAATAGTTTTGACAACATGATTAGAGTAGAAAGGTAACAAACATCCATTAAGACTGACTGAGCGAGTGCCAAATGGTACAAGTGTTTAAAGTCTTGAGTGGACCGCTAAATACTTATACTACATGAATGCTTCTTAGTTACAGTTTCTTTCCGTTCTCCATACATTCAAGCACAAAGGCAACATCGTTGTGCCTTCATATGTTGGACAAATAGACAGTCTGGTTATCATTCAGATTGCAGGCGGGGCTGGTTCTTCTACGAGCCCGCATAGCCGCCCCGCGAGAATGCTTTTTGTGGCCCATGTGGCTCAGCTGCAAAGTATTTGCGGCTCAATATTGTCCACTCCGCAAAGCCCACTGGACGAGAGGACAAACCCGCAAGACCCGCGAGAACCCGCATTCTCTGTCTCTGCGATGGTCTAGCGCGGTAGCGTCGCCGCCGCCGCCCCCTTCTTCTGCCGAGCTCCGCCTCGCGCTTGTACTGCCCGTCAACCACCCCGTCGTCCTGGGGTAGTCGCCTCGCTCGTTGCCGTCGCGCTCGCGGTCGTCCTCCTGTACCCCGCGGCTGCTTTGGCATCTGTCGTCTGTCGATGCGTCCACTGCTCCCCGCCAGTTCTTGATGTGGAGGGAGCGGCGGCGGCCGCTGCTCCGGATGCACTACCACGACTGCTTCGTGCAGGTAAGCGCTCGCACGCATCGCATCCATGGATTAGGCCGTGGTACGACGTGGAGACCGGGGCCGGACTCCAACATCGTGGACGTGAAGACCTTCATCAGCGTCAAGTCGCTCAACTCCAAGGACATCGCCGTCCTCTTCGGTAGCTGCCGCCGTCCTACTTCGTGGGGCAGGCGGGCAGATGGTTCCTGCCGGACCAGCGGGCCGGGACCGAGGCGTGGACGGTGGAGAACAAGATGTTCGAGTGCGCGCTGGCGCGGGTCGACGGGGACGCGCCGGATCGGTGGGAGCGGGTCTGAAGAAGGAAGACGCCATCCTACCTGTGGATGCTTGCGGACGTTAGTGGGCTTACCCGCTAGTCCCACTGGCCGTTCGCGGCGATTGCCTTGCGGCTGGCGGACTCTCGCATAGCCCGCTTAATAGCTTGGTGGCCAGCTTAGTGGCTGGTGGACGGTCCACGACCCGCCGCGCCTGCAAGGTTAATTATCATTATTAACCTTTTTCTTGTGTGCTTAGAATTTAGAAAGTGTACTGACATGTGGTTTCAACTAAATGTTATGGTTAATGAAGTGGTTGACAGATTACCCAAAACCACCCATAAATACCTTATTATGTAGTTCTGTACTGAATTTCACATTTTGGGGACATGTGATCAACAGGTTGCACATTAAGTAACTAAACCACAGGAAGAGTTGAGGGACCACCACGGATGTACTTTTTCCTAAAAAAAAAATCTAAAACCTAAGGAGCAAATAATGACATTCACATGCTCACCTTTAGTATCTTCAGCCATACAGGGCTACAGGCAGCACCATACAGGCTGTCAGTTGAAGTGACTGACTTCATCACAGAAATGATCAAGCATCTTCAAACTAAATTGTCCTTGTCTCCTAAAGTCAGGTGGAGGACATTCTGATTCCTGAAAATTAGAATATTATCATTGCTCAGGAAACTTTAATGTGGTACAGTAATATTGGATACTGCTAATAGCCTAATAATACTGTAATAATTAACATTTACCTTCTCATGGGAATCATTTCATGTTGAAATGTCCAAATGTAGTTGGGCTGTTCTCTGCTACCCAATCCAAAATAGATATTGCATGCCAATCATGGCAGCTGATAATGCTGCTAAATCACATTTCCATCCCCAAAGAGATCACAAAAACATGATTAGATCGGAGACCAAGTGGAGTCAAGAAACTGGCCTAGTAGATTAGTCACCTGAAAGGGAAACCATTATGTCTCATTCTTCCTGTGTAGCTTTTGATCAAAGAAATTATATAAAAGACTATATGTAGATCAGAATGGATGCTCTATTATTCCATTTAGTTGGCACTAGGAGTAAAAAATAGGAAAATATATGGTAAGTTTTAATGAGACACTCTTCTCATCTCAACAGGTTAAATACACAATACAACTTCTGTCATAAGTACCATCTACTGTCCTTGCACTCATAGCACAGAATAATGCTGAGAAGAAATGATTCTCCTGAAGAATTTACAGTTTAACATTAGGCGTACCTTTCGTCCAGAATCTGGCATAGATTGATCGTTCATCGCATCATCTATCGTGACATCCTCGTTGATGTTTATAGCATCCCTTTGAGATCCCCGGCCAGGATTTCTTTCATAAGCAATAATCTCTTCATATGCCTTCTGTAAGATATCTTTTGCTGCTTTATATACTGCCTCTGATCCAGCTCCTTTCTCAGCACATCTGATGGCATCAGCACATAGGGCATTGTAGCGGCTTGTGGTGGACTGAGAAGCATCCTCATCATGAGTATTGTTGTTATTATCTTCTAACAAAACATCATCATCTCTTGCCTTCCTTGTCCAGCGTTTCATAAAATATTCAGTTGGAAGTGTTCACCGATCAACTATTATGTTTACTCCAAGAATATGACAGCACAATATACCTGAGAATTCAAAGTACTTGCAACTACAGTTTGCCATCTTATTGGAAGCATTGTAAGTCACATAGAAAGTGTCCGATGGATCTTCATCTTTTGTGATGCTGTATTTACTTATGCAGCCATCTGCAGTCTTCTGAATGATAAATCCCAGAGACTCTGTAAATTCCTCCTGAAACTTACTGAAGACTGCTTTGGTATAGGTGCTTGCTGCCTGTTTTTCTATTAGTGATGCAGTTTTTGTAGTTGCCTTATTTAAGCAGGCATCCATATCTGCTTTTGCTTCATCCTCGTACCGGCTTGCCAAGCTCAAATCAAACTGATTAAGAAAAACTTCAAGCGTTGTTTTTGAATTGAAATATTTCTTATAGAAATCATTCATGGTTTCCAATTTCCATGTGGGAGATGTTTCTACAAAGAATGTATCCATCAGGTACAAAGGAACCCACTTTTGGCGGATATTGTATATTGCTTGAAGCCATGAATTCTTCCTCAAGTCATATCTATCAATGATTGACATCCAAGTTGTTTCGAATGTCGAGATAGTTTCAGACTCAAGAACACAGCTCTCAAGTTCGTCTCTTAGGGTTGGATGCTCTGAGTATGTATGGGTCAGCTTTTGCTTGGTTCTACTCAAAATATTCCACTTACAGAAACAGTGACAGGAATTCGGAAAAACCTTCCCAATGGCAGCCTTCATGGCCCTGTTTTGGTCAGTGACCAACGAGCATGGCGCCTTACCTCCCATTGCCGCTAACCATGTTTCAAATAGCCATATAAACGAGAACTCAGTCTCTTCCATAAGCAACAAACATCCAAAAACAACAGGCTCAGATGATGGTTGACTCCTGAGAAAGTAACATAGGGCATCATATACTTGTTCTTCTTGTACGTCGTGTCGAACGTTATAGCATCCCCGAAATGCCGATAAGCTGCTTTGGTCCTAGCATCAGCCCAGAAAACATTCACCACACAGCCATTCTTGTCAACCTGTATAGCATGGCAGAACGCAGGGTCGTTGGCTTGCATCTTCTTGAGATAATCAAGAAGGCCCTGCGCGTCTCCTCCTTCCCCAAGGACATTCTGCCTGAGAAACGCCATCTCGTCAGGCCCCACCATCGCGGCCTTATCAGAGCCACCAAGCAAACCTCTCGCACGAAGGTACCCAACCTTGGCACTACAAGTTCCCAGGTCATGGTTGTGAGCCTTCTCAAGCTTGGAGACAACCCAGTGGTCCGCCTCCCGAACCACCTCCATCATGGCGTTGCAACCTTCCCGCATAGACATCCTCTCACGCTTCCTTGTCGCCTCGTCCGGCGAGGTCTGTTTCTTCTTGTACATCCCTTCCTTGGAGCAAACGAACCTCTTCATAACGACAACCTCCTCCGTGCCCTTGGACCGCCGAGACCTGCCGACGCGGAAGGGGAAGCCAAGCCGCCTGGCGTACTCGTTGTAGAACGCCTTTGCAGCCTCGTCGAACTCGAACGTCATGCCGAGCATAGGCTCATTGGGGTCCTCGGCTGAGGGGAAATCTCTCGTGCCATCTGGCCCTGTTCCGGCCCCAACCGTCCCTCCTTCCCCGACTGCAGCACCGAGGATGAGACCGTCGCTGTGGACAGGCCGGGCGTTGGTGTCCAGGGGCATGAGGCAATCCACATAATCGGCAATCAGCTCGTCGCCTTCCGTCCTTTCCCCCTCCATGGCCATCACCATCGATGTGTATCAAGAATTCAAGATCCCGTACGAGCATCCATCGCCACAATTACACTGTGCTGAAACCAGTGGCGGAACCAGTATAGGACATGGGTGTAATTTTTTGTAAAAACAAAAAAATCGAAGTTAGTAGGCATATACATCAGATCCGAATACAAACAGCCAAATACTAGCTCAAGTTAGGGTTCGCGTGCTCAAATTTGCGCAGCAGCAAGGGAAGAGAAAGGGGTGGGCATACCTGGTGTGGTCGGTTCTCGTCGCCGGAAAGGAGCGGACGAAGACCTCGGCAGCTGGGCGTAGGGGCGGCGACGGTGTGCTAGTTGTCGCACACGCGAGGTGAACTGGAGAAGAAAAACAGCAGGTGTGTGTGAAGGCAGGAGTGGGGTTGGCTGAGCTTGCGGGCCGGACGCGCTACTGGGCTGGGCCGTTTCTCTTTCTCTTCACAAAGTGGCTCATTCTTTCTCCGATTCCTTTTATTTTCTTTTCTTTTTTGGCCATGACACTCATTTTTTTCCCTGTTTTTTTTTTCTCCCAACTGCTTTCATTATCATAATTTATCAGTTATAATCATGCTTATTGTTTTCAGATCCACTAGTGAATTTTTCGCTTTTCTATCACTAACCTATGGTGAAATCTGTTATTGGTCTTTTTTTAATTTGTGGTTTGATTCATTTTTATATAATTCCTTTATTTCACATAAATATATCATAAGCATTTTTGTCCCAATCTGTAGCATTATCTCGTGATGCCGGAATAAATTTCTCTAAACATGGGGACATTTTGGTCATGAAGCTAGAAACATTTTTTTTATATAGCTGGAACATTTTGGTCAAAAGCTATGAGGTCATGGAGTTAGATCTACTTCCTAATAACCCGAGTCTTGTGTGTGCTGAGGTGTCTCTCATGGTTTGTTAGATCATAATATGGGCACTTAACCAATATACAAACATCAAATTTGTGTCTCTCTTTATAGTATAACATTTCATAAACTCATTTCAAAACCGAAGACGAAATTAAGCATTATGTGTTCTTTTGCCATATACCGTCAACTTTGAGGGGTTTAAAAGGCATTCACGTCTCATAAACCTTATTGAGCCCTTGATTATTTGCCACTAATACACCAAAAATCCACGAGGTCTTTCACAAGCCCAATTCCACATGGTTAATTAATGACTAATGGTATTATTGGCCATTTATATACTGTCAAGACAATAAAATTAGTGTTTAAAACTCACATGCTTCAACAAAATGGCGAGTACCGTGTTGGGAGGCATATTCTGATGACGTGTAATTCTTTTGTGAGAAATATGTTTTACTTTTAGAACTAAAGAATAGTTTGTTTTCCCTGATTCTAGATGATGCTTGGCGTTTGTACTACCTCGGGCCATCAAAACATGTCATTTAGAACAAGATTTGGTCAAACCTTAAAATCTGCAAACCTCAATAATAATTTCAAATTACTACTAGAGAAACGACCTTTGATCCAGCTCAAAATTTGGCTTTAGTCCCGGTATATTTCGCGCCCGGGACTAGAGAGACATTTAGTCCCGGTTTGTAGCTCTAACCCGGACTAAAGGTCCCTGCCCAACGGCTACTGCGACAGGCTTTTGCTGCAGGGACCTTTAGTCCCGGTTGGAGCTACCAGCCGAGACTAAGGCCCCGTTTGGCAGGGCTTCTCCAGCGGCTTCAGGAGCCGTTTGGAGCCGTTTTCTGCCAAACGGGGTAAAATGAAACGGCTCCACCGATGAAGCCCCTAAAAACGTGCTCTCACAGAGCTTTGGGGGTGGGAAGGAGCCAAAAATAGTGGCTTCTCCCGGCTCCTCCTCCAGGCCTCTAAAAACATGCTCTCACAGGGAAGCCATTTTGCCAAACGGTTTACCAAAACCGCTTCAGCTCCACCAGTGGAGCTGTTCGTGGAGCTGAAGCAAAAAAAAAATGGCTTCACTAGTGAAGTGAAGCCCTGCCAAACGGGGCCTAAAGGTTAACGTTTACTTTCGGTTGGTCCCTCCAACCGGGAGTAAAAGTCTACTCCTGGCTAGAGTCTCCATCCGGAAATAGAAGGACCTTTAGTCCCGGTTGCTGTCTCCAACCGGGACTAAAGCTTCAAACTGTAACCGGCAGTCTTTATGTGTGTGCGAGGTGTGCCGTGTGTGTGGTCGCGGTGTATCTGAATATACTACAGCAGCCAAACTACTGAGGAGTGCCTGCAACCGTACTCCAGTTTGCTACCTCACGTGTGGTACCCTATTCAAATTTAGTCCCGGTACTCCAGTTTGCAACCGTACAGCAGCCAAACTACTGAAGCATATTGCGTACTCCAGTTTGCAACCGTACAGCAGCCTAGCACAGCCGCCACCGGCACAACAGCCTAGACCAAATCAATTAGTCCCGGCTGGTATTACGAGCCGGGACTAAAGGTACCTTTAGTCCCGGCTGGTATTATCAGCCGGGACTAAAGGTCTTTTAGTCCCGGGCGTTTATAGGAACCTCGATGGGCCGGCCTAGTACGCAATATGCTGGAATTGCTGGCCAGTCCCACCTATTAGCACCACCTCGCTTGCTCAGAAGAGTGAAAGCTAACTTAAAAGCTCAGCTCTCGAACCATGCAGCACGAACTTAAACATGATCTGCTCTATAGGATTGTACCGCTGATCCTTGACTAAAGATCCTTCGTACTATAGTTTATACAAAATGTTGAACATTATAAACGTACATATATTCTAGCATTGTAGAATGCGTATTCAAAAACCAAAACGAATCATCAATTAAAAATAGAAAAAAAGAAAATAGAAATAGAAACAAAAAAAAACCTGGTAGCAGCGTGAAAATAGAAAAAAAAGAAAATAGAAATAGAAACAAAAAAACCTGGTAGCAGCGTGAAAATAGAAAAAAAAGAAAATAGAAATAGAAACAAAAAAAAACTGGTAGCAGCGTGAAAATAGAAAAAAAAGAAAAATAGAAATAGAAACAAAAAAAAGTAAAATAACCTTTAGTCCCGGTTGGTATTACCAACCGGGACTAAAGGGTGCCGGCCCCGTGGCATGTCAGGAGGCACCTTTAATCCTGGTTGGTGTTACCCACCGGGACTAAAGGGCCCCTTTAGTCCCGGTTGATGTTATCCACTTAGTCCCGGATGCTTGCTCTCGGGTGGGGAATCGGGACTAGAGGAGGTTTTCCACCGGAAGTAAAGCTCGTCTCTCTACTGGTGATTAGATATTGTTCGGGAAAAGAAACAATACATATGTCGTACTGAATTGAATATAAGATTAATTGCATGGACTAATAACACGAATGCACACCGCTTAAACTAGCACAGAAGCATTAGATGACGCATATTCATAATTTAGTCCGCGCAGTACATATAGCCAAATAAAACTACAATATACGCGCATTGAAGAATAGATAGGTGACGCTACTACTTCAAATTCAAGGCTTGAACAATACTGTCGATCGAAGATAGGATCATAGCCACCAGCATCGTCCGAATATTCCTCAAGAACATAACGTTGATACCCATAGTCCTCGTCGGAATCATCATCAAAACAATCGATGTACTCCTCATATAACAACCAACCTCGACATAGTCCTCAAGCTCGAGGTAGGAGGAGCTCATTTCCCGCGTCAGCGGATGACATGTAATGTCCATGGTGTAGTTGCTGAGGAACCGTGTTAAAGTGAAAGGGCGAAAGTTGCAGGGCAAATAAACCGTAGCGCTGCCCATAGCTGCCGAAACGAACTCTGGTTCTTCATCGTCACAAGTTCCAATGTTGAACTTGTAGATGTAACGCTGGCCTTGCAAACAACGGTCGTCAGTGAGTCGCCTCAACCGTCGGGAAGCACGCGGTGTCAACAACAAGGCACCTGACGCCCAGGAAGAGAGCTTGGCTCCCGATGCTCTTGACCCTCTCCATCACGTTCCCAGCAGCGTCAATCTTGAAAACATCAATGCCACGGCGCCGCTTCAAGACCGCCAGCATATCCCCGCCGCCGGCCACCACCGCGCGTAACAACGGCAGCCCTCGTGCTCTTCAGACCGAAGCTGATCAAAGATGTTCTTGGCACCAGGAACAGATTCACGGTTGATGGCGGCTGCTATCTGGGGCAGCCTGCTTGCAGGGCAGTGTCGGTGGCTCTTGACGGCAGAGAATGACTCGCTCGATCTGGGGTTTCACCCAGTACACCCAGCTTCTCACGACGGAGACCAGGACGAAAGTAGGCGAAGAGCCGACCACGTCGGCAGTTGTGGGGATATGACCCCGGTGTCACAAGACATGAGTTGCATAATCAGAGGTGGTCCAGCACAAAAGATTAAGACGTGCACGACACTGATCGATGTGCACCGCAAGACATTGTATAGTACCAAATATAATACTTTCCTTATATCTCTACCCCTTCAGAGTCCTCCAGAGTATATAAGGAGAGACAGGGGTCTTCTAGTGGACATCGATCTACATACATCTCATATTTAATACAATACAATAAAGACACAGGACGTAGGGTATTACGTCGATCAGATGGCCCAAACCTGTCTAAATCGCTCTCTCTACGCCTTGTGTCACTGTCGGGTTCCTATCACGCGCACCTTCACCGATGAATCTACCTTCGTAGGATACCCTTCGGAGAACTGCCGAGCATCTTTTGCCGATAGCAGTGGCGCCGCAAAACGGATCAATGAGTCGGTGAAGGGGTTGAGGACACTCACGGCGTACGGGGGGTTCCTGCCCGCCAGAACCAGGAGGCCATCGGTGCCTCGGTGGTGCTTGTGACGAAGACGTAGCAGTCACGGTCATGGAGGAGCGCCAGTGGTGGCAGACGGCGCGCATGTCCGTGTAGCAGTTGAGGTCGTTGGTGGACAGGAAGCAGTCGGCGACGCGGTTGACGAGGTCCGCCGGAAGCGACGACCAACCCTGCTGCGCCATGGCCTTGAGGTTTCAGAGATTTGCTGTCTGTTTATTTGGTGCTGAGGGAAGGGGGGATACAATTATACAGCACGGGATCAG